ATATCGTTGCAACATTATGTTTCTTTGTATCTTTGTGAGATTCTTCTAGAGAAACGAACATTCAGTTAAATTTTTTTATATTCTTTCTTCTAATTTTGATTTATTTGCGCAAATTTATGACGATGGTTTATGATTATGGCAACTTTTTATAGCTACAAACAGTTATGTTAAAGATCACACCTAACTCTATACCGAGAACTAGTAAGCCATACATTAGAATCATGCCGTTTCTTTTTTTCCAGGTAGTCCGTGGAACTCGAGAATGCGGTGGCGAATGGGGCGGAGTCGAGGGCGCTGCGTTTGATGAAGAAACCCATCTCAGACCGACGTCGACATCATTCAGTAGACTTCAACGCATCATTGAGATTAACCAGGGTAGATACCGGCGACAACGAGCACAACGAGTGGCGTCATATCGTTTCCATGGACCTGACGGAGGCTTTCGCGCCGGGAGGTGGCGGCGAGGATCTGCCGAAGACAGATTTTTTCGATTTTGTGGTGTCGCCGCCGCCGCATTGCGCCTCGGCTGATGGCGTCGTTTCCGATGAGGAAAGCTTTCTACACCGCGGTACCAGCGGCTGTCGCACTATGGGCGGCTACCTTCCACAGACTCATGAGGACCACGAGAGTTCGCACGGCGGTTCACCTTTCATTAAAGAAACCAATAATAATACACTGACAGCGCTACCGCCTGTCTCGACTATCACCGGTTCGTTAAGCCATCACCATCAGCATCATCATGCGCATCACCAAGTGCGTTCGCAGCATGGAAATGTTCAGACCGGCGATACTGCTATGGATCAGTCCGAGTGCGATTATTGGGGCCAGGAGGACGAGAGCAAGGAGCAGACGTGCAACATCTTATTGGAGGACCTCAATAAGTATTGTTGGTCTTCAAACGCACATACCAACGACAGCGTCATTCATCCGGCGGCGGGTGGTCCCAATGATCACCATCAGGCCGTGAGTTCGGGCCGCGCGAGTTGCACTGCCAACGACCGACAAAACACGGACGGTGCCATTTACACTCTGACCGTGCTAAACAACGAGGCAAACTCGATGGACGCGTTGGACTGTTGCAAGAGTCCAGCACCCGCGTCCGGAGACTCTTGGTCCTTACGGCCTAACCTTGATCTAGATGCCATTCTAAGCATGGAACCGACCTCCGGCGAGCAAGATCACGACCAAGCCAGCGGCGAGGTACCCAGAAGCGTTAATGAGAGGTTTCACGGCGCGGATGGTCGCGGATTCACTGTGCCCTCGTCGCAATACGCTACGGACGACAGCGGATTCGTCGAGAGCAAAGAATTATGCGCGCGAGCATCCTCGGCTAACTGCTCCGGCGATAACAATAACGACTGGAAACTGTCAGATCAAAATCTACAGGAGGTTGCGGCCGCCGCTGCTGCCGCGGTTGTTGTTGGTGGGGATTCTGCCGAAAGTCTCCTGAGAAGCGCTCTTCAGGGGAAACTGTATACCGGATCGGCCCAGTCAGTTTCCTCGTCTTCGCCATCCTCACAGGCGTCCACCATCTCGATGCCGGTTTCAGGAACTGCGGGTCTAATGGTGTCCGATCAACAACAACAGCAGCAGCAACAACAGCAGCAGCAGCAGCAACAGCAACAAGAAGACTCCATGCAGGCTTGCACTGATGAGGATCTGCTGCTCTCACAGCTGGATCAGACGACCTATCGACCGGGTGATTATGAGAAGCTGAAGAGCATCGCGAATGAGGTAGTTGAGTCGTACTGCAGTCTTGAGCCGGTGTGTAACGTGTCGGCGACCACTACAGTGATGTACACTTTGGATCCAGCAAGCGGAAGTTTGGGTACTATCACGTTACCGGCCGATTTGGGTCAGGTAAGTACCGTGACGGTAGTCACGGCCGCTCAGCAAGACGTTCTGCAGCAACAATCTGCTCAGCGAACCGATGTGGATCAGCAGCAGCAGCAGCAGCAGCAGCAGCAGCAGCAGCAACAGCCACAATCGGGTCAGCTGCAGCTGACTTCCGGCCGGGTGGGCGTCACCTCCAAGCCGCCGAAGAAATACGTCAGGCGCGCCAATCGCAACAGCAATAACGCCAACGGCGCTAGTAACGGTAGCACCGGAACGGAAGCCAGCAATACAAGTCAGCAACAGACCGGCGGTTCAGGCGGCTCGCCCGGTAGCGTTCAGCGCAAGGAACGCTCTCTGCATTATTGCAGCATCTGCAGCAAGGGCTTCAAAGACAAATACAGCGTAAACGTGCACATCCGGACGCATACCGGCGAGAAGCCATTTGCTTGTTCGCTTTGCGGCAAAAGCTTCCGTCAAAAGGCCCATCTAGCTAAGCACTATCAGACCCATGTAGCCCAGAAGCCCACCAGTATCCAGCAAACCGCTTCCGGAAATAGCGTTAGCGGTGGAAACAACGGAAATACCAGTCCAACGGCGGAGACTAACGCGACCTCTGTGTCCCCCGCAATCACCAGCAGGGCCCAGATCGCCGTGGATCCCACAGGAACCGCCTGTAGTCCTCCCAGTTAGTTTGCAAAATGCGAACGCGGCACGACATCGAGTCTGGATACACGTCATCTACATTTTTTTACTTTTCTCGAAAAAGATGGCGGCCGAGGCTGGTCTCCGCTTTTTTCTTTTTCTCTATTCTTTCTTTCTTTTTTATACGAGCATGATTTTTTTCTCTTCTACGATAGAAACGCCGAGCTCAGCTTGCGAAAAAGAGCGAACCATGACAAACGTATTAGATGCATATATGATGTACCGGGTGTCCAGAACAAATTAGAAGTAAATTTTTCGGGAAACTGTTCGACTCGATAAGGTTCGCGATATAAATTTAACTTGAGCTACTTAAACAGGATTTGAATTAAATTGTTATTTAAATTGATGCAATTGAGAATACCTAATTACTTCAATTAAACTGCTCGAGTTATATATTTTACAGTTAAGTTGATGCAATTAAGTCTGCACAGTTATTTAAATTAATAGATTCTAATCAGATTGAATCGTTATGTTGCAGGGAAAGATTTATTATAAATTACATAAGAATAAGAATAATTTTCTGTGACACCCTGTACGTTAACAGGAAGTTGATTAAGTTTTGCATGGCGAAACACGACCGAAGGGTTGTTAATTAAAAAGTTAATTAAGAACCTCGAACTTTGCGAGATTATCTATCCTAACGGCGACAGTTCCGTCGTCGATTTTTTGTATTAATTATTAATTAATTATGGACGGTTAAGAGGAGCTAATCGCTTCCCTTATACTGACATGACATCCGTGAAATTGTTGTTCCTACGATCATTCAATTACCATTAATGACAATAACGACAGAAATACTGACAACGACGAAGACGAGATGAGAACAGAATGACGAATGTTTATAGGCTAATTGACGATTTATTATATTTAATAGCCACGAGATATTAACGTTGAAAAGATGTTTTATAAAATAAATCTTTTATATATATATATATATATATATAATTATGTACATGGTACTCCAAAACTACTGGATCTTCTAATCAAAGTTTCTTCGATCAATGAATGAGCACTTTCTTAAATGAAAATTTTGCAAAAAATAATTATTTTATCCTGTTAATTGACATTCTATACTGTCTTTTGTCATTTATGCATAAAAAGATTTTATTTACATAAATCTGATTTGAAACTAACTTTAAATCGAAAATTTTACATGTTTTTATAGAGAAGATATATTGATTCCAAATCTGTCGAAGAATTAAAAATAAGAACAAACCGGTAATTTTGGGATGCACCATATACAGAGAGTAGATTAGGGAATAACTTAGAGCGATAAGTGCAGAGTATCGAGAGAAAAACCCTTTAATAAGTAATTAGTAGCATGAGCTGTGATTTAGATACATACTCAACGAGCGGTTTAGAGTGAAGCAAACGTAACGAGATGCGTAAGTGCTGTTCTCTCATTGGTATTTCTTTTTTTTTTTTTAACTTTCTCTTCTCTCGCGAAAGCACAACTGAAAAAGGGACTAACCGCGACGATTATTTTCAATCATTTTGAATATTCTATCGAGTGCTATATATGCCGTAGAATCGATGGCCGTAAGAATCGCGTTTCCGCTCTTCCGTCCTTTCTTGCCTCTGATTTATTCGTAAAATGAGGTCATGAAAACAATTTTTACTGAAATTTAATGTTATAATAATATTATAACAACATTACGCGTAGTATTATAATATTAATATATTATACGAATTTTTGTTGTTGAAAGTGTCTTCTTTGTCAATAAGTCTGAATATTAATGCTGGAGTTTTATTAAGAGTAAGTTTTTTTTTTCAGACAGCTTTGAATTCCACACTTCAATTTTGTTAATCAAGATGAACATAAATGAACGATTTGTGAGAAATTGTGCAGACAAAATTATAAAATTCTTGATAATAATTATTAATAGAATTTAAAAAAATTTAGAAATTGCTATTGATTCATATCAATAAAATAGACGCGATTAATTAGTTTTGTAATTATTAAACGTTCGTAAAAATAAGACAAATTTGTACGAAGCGACTTATGCAATTCCGTTATTTCCTGTAAAAAAGTAAACCATCAAAGCTCCTTGAAAAAATGATCCATGAAGAGTCAATTAGTCAGATAATAAAACTGTCTTTTATAATAATATCCAATAATGCTCATCGTGTTTACATTATGATATTCACTGCCGTCATTGCCAATATTAAATCGATGTACGATAAAAAAATATGAAATTACAATTACTAAAATAACAGTAATAATAATTAATTAATTAGTTAGAGGCGCTAATGTTATCAACGCGATTCTTTCGGCTACGGATCTCGAAAGCTGCGATGATGCTTTTATCACGATGTAATATACTCAACTCGGCGAGTGCGACGACCGAGAAACCCGCGAATCTCCGCGAATATCCTGTAGACACCGTGCTACATTTTCCGGGGGCCCGCGACCCCGTAACAACATCACGGAGGTCAGAGTTTCCGAAGGGCTCCCTCGGGCTATCGCAAGAGTGGTTCGCCCGATAATTATACGTTGCGTCGATATTGCGTTACGTGCGTGCTCATCGTGCATATACGCGATGAGCACCTCAACATAGCCGTGGTCGCATCGTACCGAACAGGTAGCGATAAATTCACCTTATTTATAATATGTCGATAATTTTATATGCCGCTCTGTCAACGATTCGTTTATCGAGATAATTAATTGCACGGCCGCAAAAGCGAGCCTCGGCAGTTTAAGCGAGAGGCGCATTTAAAAGATGCGACACATATTCGATTCTTATCAATCTGACCTGATTCTAATTTGAGAGTTTCCAAAATTATCTTTCTCCAGGGAGAAAGAGTTCGCATTATATTATAGTAAAAGTACTGCATGCTCGTTTCCATGCAATTAAAGATAATACATATAGAATTCCGCGATTTACGCTTCCGGGATTTACGAAAATTTATTTTTAGTGAGAGATCCACTTGGACAAGAAGACGAGAGCGTTTGAAGAATATTAAGGAGACAGTCCGAAAGAGTATTTGTTAAAAAAACAAAAAAAAAATTGGAAAGATCTAGGAAAGTCTCGCGTGATTTCGCAATCACGGTCGTCTTTCTCGCCGATCATCACCGATTTGTGATCACGTCCAATTTGTGTAATTAGTCGTTCGTATGTGCAACATAATCGAGACTAATTCTTTCTCCATATTGACGCCGCTGATACTCAATCGACGACGCAAGTGGTAAATAATGTTAAACACATCGTCAAGTATATTGCGATAATTATTAACAAACAGTGTATTAACGAACAATATTGCTCAATTCCTTAAGCCACAAATCACAATTACGATACTACGCATGACATAAACTAAGTAGAAATAATTTTGTATATGTTATCTTGTGCAATTAATTTATCAAAAAAGGAAGAAAAGAAAAATTGTAAATAATTAACATATGCTTATTATTCTAATTAAAACAGGCATTAGCAATAGACACTATCATATAATTACAGCTGAACGTCTAATTTTAATAATTTGACCGTATAATAATTTGATCATATCTTGCATTTTTTCATGTTTCATCATTCTAATTAAAAATAGGAAAGAAGAAGTTAAAAGACTTGTTAAAAGATTTTTTTCATCCGGGAATTATGAATAAATTATAAATCGTAAAATTTTCCTTTTGAAGTCCAGAGAAGATTTCTGCAATTTACTCTATATATTATTTTTAACCGTTGTATACAAAATATATTTGTAAATTAAAAGTTGTAAATCTTTTCCGTCCGCTTTGTGATATTTTAAATCGTAATGGTTGGAAGCTATTATTCTCTTTGAAGTCAATAGCTCTAGCAATTCGTTCTAGATTACTTTTAACTGCTGAAAAATTAAATTTAATCTCTAAATAAATACGTTAATTAAAGAACCGGGTAAACTGGGTCACATGGTGGATATCATGATCGTTATAGAAAGGGGGGTCCGGCTCGCTTGGTTTGTAGGACACCTCGATATAAGGGCGTTATTACGGGCAGCGCTTCATCACGTCTAGGGTACTTAAAGATCGCGATGATGAGAGCGATCCTTATAAGGGGGTGTTTAAAGTCACCGCCGTCGTAGCATCACCGATGCCGCGACTTTCACCAATCTTGTCGAATCGGATTGCGACCCGCCCTAATCCCGCTTCTAATCAACCGCGCACGGCGAATTGGCCACGCGATCGATCCCTCGATCTCGCGATCGCGAAAGGAAAGCGGCATCGTTACAACGACGACGACGTACAATCAGTACGATGTCTTTGAGGGTTAATGAGCCTGAAGGATCTTTAGGAAACGAGATCCTTTCTTGGCTATTAGTAATTTCATATTTATTATCTGAAAATTGTAAATTTACAAGTCGTCATAAATTTAAAAAGTTTCTTATTTATTTCTCTTTTTTTCATTGTTTGAAATTTGATGACATAGTGAGTTTTACCATTAACTAATCGTTTAAGAGTTGAATACATAAGTCTGTTAATCTCCTGAAGGTAAGACGGAGGTGTGGCACACCCCGTCTTACAACAATGATCTCCATAGATGGAAGATTGCGCGAAAAGAGCAACGCAAAGGTCGCCATGAACGAATCGCGTGACGCAAATGAAGAAGAAAACGAGTTATCGATAGAAAACATTACGAATTATCATAGATGGTTATCTTATTGTTTTTTTTTTTTCTAAAGAATTTTATTACACAGATAATAATGAAATAATCTGAAATTATATAAATGTGATAAAAAAAGTCTAGCTTCTATATTTCGTATAATTTCTTTTCAGGAAAATAATGTTAATTTAAAATAATTTTAACATTTTGTTTATTAATAATACATATCTCCTTTTTCTATATCTAAATCACTTTTAAAAATTCAGGAAAGAAAAAAAAACACAATATTACATACTGTGAAATTAAGAATAAAATTTGAAATTGTCCGAAAACAAAAATCTTTTATTTCATAAAAAAATATTTATTTTCTACACAGCCTGTTCATTTTAAACGAAATATCGCAATGTTATTTATTTCTTGACGATGTGTCGAAAGCCACAACTTCGTTAATCATATCGCATGTAAGAGAATACTCATCGGAGTCTTCGGATTCTCAGATCCTTAATACTCGAGAATCCACGAGATCTTTCCTTACGTTCGAGACACGTTCTTAAGTTTAATGTTACTTTCTTCTCAGCCTATACTTTGCCTAGCATGTACGTACGTAAAGCTAATCTTAGAAATAATGTGGCGGCTGTCCGGTCCGTTAAGGATACGAATCCGAATCCCGAGGTTACCATGGTAACGAGAATGTAAATGTAGGAGACGTCCTTTTTTCCACTTCTTTTAATACAATGTAATAATACTCAAAGCGGTCGAGGGCCGCGCGACAAAAAAATTTCTAGATTAATTTTCAATGAGGAGAGGTAAATGTGCGCATTTAGCTAAAATGTGGCTGTTTGATCTTCGTCTCGATCGTGAATCAAAGTTAGAGAGTCGAAGAATTCCATTTAGCTAGTAAAATGCACGGAAAAAATGCAAACATTTGCACATCCCGAAGAAGTTAATGAGATATATATTATATATTATGTAAAGGGTGGTCGCATATTAAAGATATTTCAATGGCAAATTTTCTGAAATACTTAAAGTCGATTGTTGCAACAATGTAATTTTTAAAAAAATTTTATTTAAAAAAAGTAAAAATCTAGTATAAAATTATATATATATATATATATATATATTATATATATATATAATTAT